AGAAGTAGTAATGCTGGAGATCTTAGAAAATATCAAGGTGGACATACCTCAGGGACCTGATATGATGTATCCCAGGACTTTGTGGGAAGTTAGGGAAGAAATTGCAGGGCCCATTGCAGAAATATATTTATCATCTATAAACATGGATGAGGTGTCAAATGACTGGAGAGTAGCTCATGTTGTGCCTTTTGATTTTTAAGGGTTGTAAAGTGAAGCCTGGGAACCGCAGACCTGAGAGTCTGACTTTAGTGGTGGGCAAGTTGTTGGAAGTGATTCTGAAAGATAGGATTTACATACATTTGGAGAGGTAAGGAATGATTAGCAATAGTCAGTATGGTTTTGTGCGAGGGAAATTGTGTCTCACAAACTTGATTGAGGAAGTAACCAAGATGATTGATGAGGACAGAAACGTACACATTGCTTACTTGGGTTTTAGTAAACCTTTGACAAGCTTCTAAATGGTAGACTAATTTGTAAAGTTAGATCACATGGAATTCAGGGTGAGCTTGCCAACTGGATACAAAATTGGCTTATCAGCAGGAGACAGTGTGATGGTGGAGGGTTGTTTTTCAGACTGGAGGCCTGTGACCAGCACTATTCCACAGGGATCAGTGCTTGGTCCACTTTTCTTTGTCATTTACATGAATGATTTCGATGAGCATATAGAAAACGTGGTTAGTAAGTTTGCGGATAACATCAAGATTAGTAGTATAGTGGACAGTGAAGAAGGTTATTTAAGATTACAAAGAGATCTTGATCAATTGGGTCAATGGGCTGAAGTGTGGCAGATGGAATTTAATTTGGATCAATGCAAGGTACTGCATTTTGTAAAACAAATAAAGATAAGACTTACACAACTAAAAGTAAGGTCTTGGGTGGTGTTGTAGAACAGAGACCTGAGATTCAGGTACATACTTATTTGAAGTTTGCATCACATATAGATAGGGGAGGCTGGACAGGCTGGGACTTTTTTCACTGGAGTGAAAGAGGTTCAGGGGTGACCTTATAGAGGTTTATAAAATCATGAGGGGTACAGATAAGGTGAATGGTAGGTGACTTTTCCTTAGGGTGGGGGATTTCAAGACTGGGGGAGGTGGCTATTAATGTAAGAAAGATGTAAAAAAGACAGGAGGGGCATTTTTTTTTTTAAAAAAACAGTGTGGTTTGTGTGCGAAATGAACTTCCAGAGGAAGTGGTGGATACAGGTACAGTTACAGCATTGAAGAGACAGTTAGATAAATACATGAATAATAAAGGTTTGACGGACATAGGCCAAGCACAGGCATGTGGGACTAGTTTAGTTTGGAATTATGGTTGGACCAAAGGACGTGTTTCCATGCTGTATGACCCGATAAAGAAGCAGCTCACTACCTTCTCAAGGATAATTAGGAACGAGCAACAAATGCTGGCTTTGCCATCAATGCATAGATTTCCATGAAAGAATAAAGAAAGAACAAATAACACAAGGTGATTTTAATAAGTGTTCTAGGAGTAGTGAGATAGTACAGCGCAAAGGAAGTTAACATAGGATCTTAGCAGGAATATTGATAACCAGATCTCCGATGCGGAGGGCCATCACATTATGGATTTGATTGTCAGTCATTAATCAAAATGTGGTTAGGATATTTAATTAGTTTAAGCGAAATTGCAACTCTTCTATATATATAAACACTAAACATTTCCAAGTCACTACAAATCGTTTCATAGCAAATAAGTTACCTGGGATGTTGGAAACAAGTATAACACTGAAGTGAAAAATGGTTCTCAATGATGCCATGGTTGCATGAGTAAATTATAAATAATAAGCAACTATTGGTACAATCCTCATGAGTACAAATACTACATAATGAATATGTGCACATTTGAATTTATATCAAAATTAGGCATACAGCATAACGTTAATCATCAAGGCTTCTAATAAACAAAAGCATTCTAGAACAAAACAAATACTGCAGTCTCATTATTCAGACACTTGCAGCTGAACATTCCCCGTTCATTGAAATTAATTCAGTGAATTTGTACTCTGTAACATATACATAGCTTAAGAACAGAATTTTACAAAATTGATTAGAGCTGAAAGAACATCATAAAACTAGTACTTTAAAAAAGTAATTGACTAATTTCATTGATAATTGAATTTTGTTTTATTGCTCGAGTCACAAGCCTATTATTCACATCCAAATATGTATATGGCCCTAGTGAGCGCTCAAGTTATTTTTTTAATGCTGCCTGTATGAAAACCATTGCTGACAACCATCATTCAGCTCAAAAACAAAAGCATAACCTGAAACCTGAAAGTTAGGAATTCATACAATAAAGACAAAACAATTGATGAATATTTTTGATTTACCATACAATACAAAAAGTTACATGCCTTTTAGCCTGTGCAGTACACATGGACTGTTGACCTCTTTTCTCAGCCATCATTCTTCCCCACCTATTCTTGGGCAGCTCTCTCTGCGGCAGTGGAATGACATGTTGAATGTACACTTCAACAATCTGATCCTTCTGAGCTTCATGCAGGTTCTCAGTGGCTATTTTTCTCTGAATAAAATATGCAGATCTAGTTAAGTTCCACAAACAATTGCACTGATATCTGCAACATTGCACATATTACTTTCCAACCGACCAAGCGTACTATAATGGGAATGAAAACACCATACAAACATACACCAAATATTAATTCAAAAGTCACCAAATTTTTGATGCTATTTCAGCAGTTACTGTGGCAAAGTCTCAGATTCAAAAGAGAATGTGGAAATTGAAGCTACCTGTTGAAACCCACATATTTAGTGCAATACTTACACTTGCAAAATTTAATGATTTTGAATCAGCATGGACGAGTCGGACCGAGGGGTCTGTTTCTGTGCTGTATGACTATATACTGACAGTATCATAGTGTAAGAAACAAGCAGTGTGTAACTTGCAAGTAAAGAGTGCATTAGATCTATCACTTTTAGAACATTATTTTGTCTCATACCAGTATTAAAAACTACATGAGGCCCCCATATCTGTCTATTGATACAAAAACCATTAGAGGTCAGACACATCTCACATTAATTCAAGACACAATCAGCTAATTCTGCCTTCCGATAAATTGGAAGTTAATTATCCTCTTTTCCTCCCAATTACAACAATCCTGTTATAAGGCTCATGACAGTAGTCACATTCAAACCTCGAGATCAGAAGGTCTAGGCTGAAGTCTCACGTGCCCCATGTCTGAACAGGTTAATTAAAAATATCTAAGCACAGTCATTACAAAGGAAGGCTATTGAAACTATCAAATGTGTGCCAAATCTCTGCAGTACAACCAATTCAGCACAAGTCAGAGTTGGTATTGTTACAGTACAGGAAAGCTTTCTACCATTGTGTCTGCATCCATGCTTTGGATGAACAATGCACATGCTGCCATTCTGTCTTCTCCCCATAACTCAGCAATGTTTTCTTGTTCAGATAATTCAATTCCCTCTCAAATGCCCGAATTCAGTTCAAATCCCCTATTCTATTCCTGTAGCCATGTAATTTTATTTCCAAGTACCTATCTAATTTCTTTTCAAAATCACTCACCAGCCTCATGGGCTGCAAGTTCCAGATAACTGTCACCCACCACATTAAACAATTCCTCCTCACACCCCCTAGACAGAAAACCTTAAAATTGCATGTTCTAGTTTTTGTACCATCAGTGATGGATTTTTCCACCCCACCCGTTTACCTTATCTAACCTCATCATCTTACACACTCCTATCAAGTCTCCCCTCAATCTTATTTTCAAGAATAATCCTAACCACTCCAACATATCCTTGTAGATAAAATCCCAAGAATAAAATTTATACTCATGCTACTTGAGAATTTAACATAGCAAGCTAGGAATTACTGGAATTACTCAGTATGCCAGGCAGCATTAGTGCAGCAACATTTCATGTAGTCGTCTGTTTTTATTTCAGATTGCCCGCATTTGCAGTGTTTTGCTTCTTGCATTTTCCAACTAGGGAAAGTTGGCTTTGAAACCATCTAAGCAGTTATTAAAGCCTAGTTTTCAACAACAGTTCAAATCCCCTATTCTATCCCTGTAGCCGTGTAATTTTATTTCCAAGTGCCTAATTTCTTTTCAAAAATCACTCACCAGTCTCATGGGCTGTAAGTTCCAGATAACTGTCACCCACGACATAAAACAATTCCTCCTCACATCCCCTAGACAGAAAACCTTAAAATTGCATGCTCTAGTTTTTGTACCATCAACAGGATAACAATGTTGTTGAGTTCTGAGGAAGGGTCGCTGTTTTTTCCTTCACAGATGCTGCCAGACCTGATCTTTTCCAACAAACTTTGTTTTTGTTCCTGATTTACAGCATCTGCAGTTCTTTCGGTTTTTATTTTAACAAAACACCAGCCGCTTCGGGGCCTGCGCGGCTGGCGGTCTACAACCATCCGATTTAGCTCGGAGTATGCCAGTACTTAACGGTACACACCACCACAACCCTCACCTGCTCCAAGAGTTGCAGCAGAAAGTCCCCAGACAGGAGCTCTGGGTGCAGCAGCAAATGCGAATCGAACTCCCTCATCTCAACTGCCGCAACGGCCATCTTCAGAACCTCTCGGTAGGCCCCGCGTCACGTGACCGCTGTTCCACCAATCAGAGCCTCGACGTCACAGTCAAGAAGGGAAACAACCAGCTGTGGGCTACTGCACCAGCGCGTTTTACCCTTTTTTCGGGGTGGGGGAGGAAGAGAACGCCCACCGGCGGGACTCCGGGCAATGACCCGGCGGTGTGATGGGCTGTGGGGAGGGGATGGGAGCGATACCTTGTGTCAGGAGGTGGAAGATGCGAGTCGGTAGCGCCCCCCGTGGCAGGAGGAGGAAGGGGCGCGTCGGTCTACGTCACGTGACTCCGGGTCGTCCCCGCGGCGATGTCACATGGTCGGAAACGTATTGGAAGGGGCCGGATGTGAGACTGTTAGGGAAGACGTCAGGTAGGACCGAGAGGCTTGGGTAAGGAGAAGAATAGGGGAGGAGGGTTTGGGTCACTGGGGGTGAGGGCCTGGCGATTAGAGATGTTTAAATCGACCATTGTCTGCAAGGGTTCATGAATGAAATGAACAGAGTTCGGTGCCACTTGGAGCAGAGTTAAAGGAACCGTCTGTTCACTATTCAGCGGCGATTAAGAAATCAGTTGTATTTCATGTTCGTAGGTGGCTCTTAACCATCTACAGAGAAATTTCTGGTGCTACAGGTCTGTTCTTTTATTGCATTCTACTTCCGTCTGGTGAGAAATCCCAATTATTATGACTATCCAACAGGTTTGTTTGAAAACGCAAGCTCTCGTAGCCTCACTCCTCCTTCAGGTGTTAGTGAGAGAGGTAGCATCAGGCACAGAATTTATAAGTAAAAGATCAAAGATTTCACACTAATGATGAGGATGTCTTAAACATATGATCATTACATCAGTGCTGTGAACCTTTGATCTTTTATTTAATAAATTTTGTGTCTGATGTTATCTCCGTCACTAAAACCTGAAGGAGGAGTGAGGCTCTGAAAGCTTGCGTTTTCAAATAAACCTGTTGGACTATAACCTGGTGTTGTGTGATTTCTGACCTTGTCCACCCCAGTCCAACACCAGCATCTCCACGTTATGATTATCCATTCAGTAGCCTCCTAAGAGGATGAATGGAGAAATGGAAGTCCTACCCACAACAGATCTTTGTGCACTGATTAATATGATGTCATCCAAGGTGTAGAACTTGTAGTCACTACAACACTTAAAATAATCTATTCTTATGGAACAGGTCCATGCCTTGTGTAGATTTGGTTGTGTTCTGTCCATTGTCTTCAATGGACGATGAAGCCAGAGACTTTTGCTGTGGGATCAGTTCACTGATGTGTCATTCTGCAACTGCCATAGTTCTAGGTGGAGTTTGTACATTCGTTTTTGCCTTTTGGTAGAAATGTGTCTTTTAAGTATGTTATGGAAAGGAAGAAAACTGTTACTTGTATAATATGTCTCATTTTCACTCAAACTGCTGAACACACTTTGGAAGCTGGTGTCAGATATTTGTGTGTAGCAATGTCCCAGAAAGAGCTACATGCTAGTGATCCAGATAATCTGCATTTTTTTTTTTGCTTGACTTTGTGGAAGGTTTAAACTAGTTTGGCAGGAGGATGGAGTCAAGGAGGTAACATCAATAAATCAAAACAAGAAATACAATGAATTTAGAGAATGTAACATTGGAGTGAGAAATAGGCTTCAAGTGGAATCCGAGAATGATGAAATGTGATGAGGTCTAAATTAGATTTATTGAATTAAAACATAGTGTAAAACATTGGTGAGCTGTATGTGCAGAATATAATGTGGCAATAAAGGATTGTGGCTCAGTACAATTCTAGGACTGGGTCTTAACAATTTCTGGATACATCTTTCAGCAAAAGTAGAGAGAGAAAGAAAAAGGGCTGGTAATATTGATTAAGGAGAATATTACTGTGCTGGTGAGCAAAGATGGCAAAGGAATCGGGGACAGGATCTATCTGGGTTAGAACTAGGAAACATTAGAGTTAGTATTACATTATTAAACATATTCTGTCAACCATCAAATAGGAAAGATTATCAAGAAAAGAAGTGTGTGGAGATTCTATAACGGGGTTAAAAAGGGCTTTTAATTATTCTGGTGTAGACCAGAATAGTAATAGTGTAGAGAGAAGACAGGGAGAAGAATTTCTGAAGTGAGTTCAGGAGCATTTTCCAGATCAGTACATTGCTCGTCCAACAAGGAAAGAGTATTGCTAGCTGTGGGGAATGATTTGGTTCCAGTGCTTAAGTGTCAATTGCAGAACCTCTGGGATATCATTCTTATTGTACCCTAGTGTTTATGTGAGCTATGAGAAATGATAGGGAGCAATCCAAAGTAAAAAGAATTATTCAAGAGAAGAACTTGTAAGATCTGCCCCAACTAAACTGTAATCAAAGATCGATGAACAAAAATCTGATGGGACAATAGGCTGCCTTTAGAGACAAGATGGTTAGGGTAAAATCAATATTCTTGGAAGAGAGAATGGTATGAAAACACAAAGCCACAGCATGAGGAAAGGGAGAGTAAAATGAAGGAGAAAAAGGTGCATACAAAAGTTTAATATCACAAGCGAGAACAAGGATATCAAAGTTCAGAGGGAAAGTGACAAAGGAAATGTGAAGCAAAATGACACTATGGAGAGTGTTCACAATGTGAAGGAGGGACTTTGTTTCCATGAGGACTGGGGATGGCCACTCGTACTGACACTGTCATGAACAGATATGTCTGCAGCAGGCACTTTGGTGAGGGTGACGTCAGGTATGTTTTTCTTTCTTTGGTTCACTCACCTGTTGCAGACACAGTCTAGCAGCTTTGCCATTTAAGACTTGACCAGCTCAATCTGAAATGCTGCTGCCAAGCCACTCTTGGTGGTGGACATTGAAGTCACCCACCCATAGTACATTTGGTGCCCTTGCCACCCTCAGTTCTTTCCTCCAAGTGTTGTTCAACATGGAGGAGTATTGATTCATAAGCTGAGGGAGGACAATACGTGGTAATCAGCAAGTTTCCTGGCCATGTTTGCCCAAATGAGACCTTGTGATATGTAGTCAATGTTGATGACTCCTGGGGCTGCGCTCTCCCAACACAGTCACACTTGAATTATACCTGACAGTCAATGTCAGGCTGTTGCTTGACTCAAATGTGAGACAGCTGTCCCAGTGTTGGCACTAGACCTCAGATGGTAGTAAGGAGGACTTTGTAGGGTTGACAAAGCTGTTTTTGCTGGTATCAATGACAAGTAGTCCTTCTGGTTTTTTTTTGTTTGTTTAGACAGCTGCATGGCTTGCAAAGCCATTTCATAGGGCAGTTAAGAGTCAACCACATTGCTGTGGCCCTGGAGTTGCATGTAGGCCAGACCAGATGAGGATAGTAGATTTCCTTCCCTGATGAAAATGAATGAATCTTATGGGTTTTTCCCTGACAGTCGACAGTGATTTCACGGTCATCATTAGATTCCTAATTCTGGATATTTATTGAATTCACATTCCACCAAAGCCATGATCAGGGTCTCCAGAATTTAGCTGAGTTTCTGGATTAATAATCTGGTGATAGTACCACTGGGCCATCACCTCCCCTGTAAAGGTTAAATCACAAAAGCAGAGGTCTGAGAGACTCTGGATGATCTAAAAATCGACAAAGGAAAATTTAACACGCTAGCTGTGCTTCACATATTCATCTGCGGATGCTGAGGTAAGTAAGGATGAACATTCCAGAGGTGTAATCTATCTTTGATACAGTATGACTGCAAAGGACTAGAAAAATGCAAATCTTGCACTCTTGTTCAAAAAGGGTGTAAGGGTAAACCCAGCAACTATAGGCCAGTCAGTTTGACTCCAGTGATGGGAATGCTTTTGGAAACAATAACCCGAGACAAAATTAAGACACTTCAGCAAGTACGGATTGAGCATGAAAGCCATCATAGATGTGTTAAAGACAAATCGTGTGTTTTGTTTTAGTGTAATGCAAATTGTTGTGCATTGACTTCCAAAAGATCTGAGATAAAGTGACACATAACAGGTTTATCATCAAAGGTACAGCTCATAGATTAGCAGGTTTAATGACAATATAAATATGAAGTTGATTGAATGAAAGGAAACCATGTTGGGGTAGATGGGTTTTTTTTTTGAAATAGAGGCAGATACTTGGTCAGGTACCTCAGTGCTTAATATTAGGACCACTGCCCTTTTGTTTTAGTCCGTACTAAGGACATGAATCTGTGTACCTAAGGCAAAATTTGTAAATTACACAAAAACTTAATTGTGAAATTTGACAAGGATGGAGATAGACTTTAAGGACAAAAAAAAGGTGGCAGACAAAATTCAAAGCTAAGAAGTGTGAAGTGATTCATTTAGGCATAAACCGTGCAGAAAGGTGATACAAACCAAAGGGTGCGTTTCTGATGGCGATGCAGGAATATGCAGTTCTGGGTTTGCTGATCTTTGAAGATGGCAGAACAGGTTGATAAGCTAGTTAATATGACATATAGGATTCTGGGCTTTGTAAATAAGGGCATAGAGTAGCAAAGCGAGGGAATTTATAATAAATCTGTATAAAAGCATTGACTCCACTTTTGGGCACATAGGAAGAATGCAAAGGCTTCATAGAGTGTAGAAAAGCTTTACAAGGATGGTAAAGAGATGAAGGGCTTAGTTATGAGGATAGATTGGAGAAGCTATGCAGCCTTCCTTAGAGAAGAGATTTGCTTGTTCAAAATCATGAAGGATCTGGACAGAAATTGTTCCTATTAACAGAAGGGTTGTGAAACAGAGAGCATTGATTTAATTTGAAAGACAAAGGAACAAAAGGCTGCTGTCAAAACCATGTGTACGTAGTAAATGGTTGAGATCTGGAAAGCGCTGCCTGAGTGTGGTGAAAGCAGATTCAATCATGGTTTTCAAAAGCAAATTGACTAATTATATGGAACAAGTAAATTTGCAAGGCCTCAGGAAAAAGGTTTGGGAGTGGGACTGGCCAAGCTACCCTTGCAGGGAGCAGACATGACAGGCTGAATTGCAGCCTCTTGTGCTATAAACATTCTATCATTTTTTCTTCCCTCCCAATTTACACTGGTTGAGATATAAATGTTCTCAAGGCCACTGGGGAGAAGTCACCAGATCTTCATGGTGTTATTAAATCTTTAACTTATACTTGAGAGGGCCTTTGTTTTCTTTCTAATCTGAAGATTCTAATAGTGTAACATTCCACTGCACTGAAGTGTCAACCCAGATTTTGTACTGAAATCTCTGCAGAGAGGGGTTTGAACTCATAATTTGACTCAAGGCAGTGAGTTTACAGCAAAGACAAGGAGACTTGTAATAGCAGATTTTTACTTTTTTTTTAAATGAGCCTCCTCCTTCATTGATATTCCATAACTACTACCGTTCCTGAATAATAAGGATGATGTCTGCAAAACTTCATGATTTAATAGCT